ATTCAATGGGCCTCTTGGGTTAATAACCACATCCTGCTTCTCGCCAACAAAAGTCTCACTGACTGTCTTTATGTCTTCCATATCGATTCTTGCAAGAATACTTTGCATTATCACTAGGCTTAGAAGTAGTCTGCTGATCATTCTTTGTAAATCGAAAAAAGATTTTCTCTCTAACCGTTTTAATTTCTCGCTTTTCATTATTATCCTTTGCATCAATTATTTCTATATATAGATCATTTTTTTATAGGTCAATTATATGCAATTTATAATAAGCCAATAAGCAAAAACAGTTCTTTGCTTTAGTTGGGCCAGTGATTGTATCCAATCTGCATATGTAAATATGCCAGTGAAATCATCTTCATACTATTCTGCTGTCCTGCAGACCAATAGTTAGAAAACACTCGTATGGTTCTCTCATAAAACAGACTCAGATACACAAAGCCTGTCCTATTGAATAGGCTTCTTTATTTATCATCTAATCTAGATATATTAGTGTACTATGCAATGGCGTTAAAAGCAGTATACTGAAAACACCGAAGCCTGGCTATGCTAGATGGCCACTCTGATATAGCCAAGATATGTGCACTCAGGCAGTCTAAATAAAGGAGTTGAGTGGTAGTAGATCAATGCAGTGTCTGTGCACTAGAAAGTGTACTCCTTCAATATGTGTATAGCCAGAGGAAAATAAAAATAAAACTCAACTCAGAGTGTGCCCAGAGGATGTTTAACAGAGCTGTTTCTATGCTATACATATGTATAATGTGATGGATGCGCAGACAAAGTGCCTCTATATATGTGTGTAGTGCATAATACAGACTATTATGATGTGTGTAAGAGAGTGTATGTATAGCTGTCAATAAATACCTGTTTTGTTCTCTACTTGCCTGGAGTATGCCGCTCTTTCTGTTTCTCTCTTTCTTCTCTCTTCATGTCTGAGCAATAGTGGTTCTCTGAAATGTGCTACTTTTCTTCTTTTCCCTGCCTCTAGTGCTTTATTTCTCTTTTTATACTCTAGTAAAATAAATTGCTTCAGAAGGCTATATGTATACTTTATTTTCCAATATATAAGAGAATAAAAATACAAGAAGCACACTGAAAGAGAAGAAAAAGACAAAGTAGACAGATGTATATAAATAAAAGAATAGACAGATAAATAGAGAATATAGATGTATTGATATGTATAAGTGCTACTAGGACAAGTACAAGGATCTTTTGGCAAAATTCTTCAAATGTGTTTAGAATGTAAGTATACACTGATAGGACACAATGAATTTGCATAAAAATACTGTAGTTGTTTATTACAGAGATGGCCTAGTAGAAAGAAAGGCAAATAACCCGAATGACAACCCCTCTCATATAACCCGAATATATATATATACATTATCACTAAACTCTTTGCAGCTCTTTAATTTTAATTTTATATTTTTGCCAGACATACCATAGAAATAGCTAGAGATCTAGAAGAGCACAATATTAGGCAAGAAATCTAAATGATGTGTAAAGTATATTAGCACGGAATATGAAAAAAGCATGACAAGAGAAAAGAAGTCGAGCAAAGAGTCTATAAAAGAATATGTGATAATGGTCGCTCGTGTGTTATTAATACTAGAAATGATGCTATACACATGCGTAGCCACACCACTCAGCCAAGACAAATCACAGGAAAGACCATTAAGTATGATAGATGAGTCGGGAACATCTTCTACAGATCAAGAAAATAGTGTAGTGCATGAAAACAGACAATTTGATGATAGAGGAAGTAAAGAAGCAGAAGAGAAAGCAGGCACAACAATACCATTTGAGCAATTGAATGATGTCATAAACACCAGAGGTACTCATGCTCCTTTAGAAATGTATGCACCAGATGAACACAAGAGCTCTGCTTTTATAAAAGAGGAAAAAGAGGTAATGTATGATACAATGAATAAAGCACAGAAGATAGAGGATATGCTTAGGAAAGTGTGCACTAAAGAGAGAAAGACACTAAAAGCGATGAAAAAACGGGCCCAAGAAAATTATAGTTTATTTTTAACCAGTAGTAAAGAACTAACAACTGCTAGAGAGAAAAGTGATGAATTTAAGAAAGAGTGTACTTTGGCTAGTGACAAAGAAGATGATATATACAGAGAGATTGAGAATCGCTCTATTGATTGCAATACTACTACTTTTCAAATACTAAGCAGCGAATGCAAGAAATATGTCATAGAAAAGCATAGGATTCTTTTGCTATATGCAAAGATAAATGAACTAAAACAATATCAAAGAAGAAGAGAGGTGATATGTAAGAAAGTTTTTATGTATGGAATAGAACCCGAAAATAATATGAATATATTAATAGAAGATTCATTTTACTACTATTCAAATAAAGTAGATATAGAAATAGAGTTAGGTATTGAACTAGAATATAATTTAAAAATATTAGCAGAAATAAATAATATCCAAAGTATGCTGCTATATCCACTACTGAAGAGCGAAGAAAACAAGGATTTGAAGAATAATAAAAAAGAATTAATAGAATTACATAACACTCTCTTTAAATATATGCAGAAAGAGATTGGCGGGCTAACTAAGCTATACGAAGCCCAGAAAGATGTTATTTTAAAAGCAAAGAAACTATTCAGCATGTATAAAGCATACAATGCGGCTAATTGTGAGTGCAAAACGCAGGAAAAAGTTTTAGATACAGTTGAAAGGATACTACATAACCTCGAAGAATAGTTGGGAAGAAATATCCTGAATGCCAGTGTTTAGTTTCTGCTGCAGGTATCTTGATATAACCGGAATACTGTGCACAGCAGAGAACACAGCAGTAGCATGTATAAGCAGTCTGGTAGGCTAGGAGACAAAGTATCTCGGGTCTTTAGGAGTTGGATGATAAAGTGTGTATGTTAGCAGCAATTTTGAGCTATGTGTAGTAATAACTAAACCTCTTATGCTATTTCTATTTCTACTTTACTTTTACTAAAATTTATTCATGGTCAAGAATTTGAGCTATCCATGCAATATTTATTGTTGAGCTCTATGCTTTGAGGGCATGCCATCCTTTTTCCAGACCAATGGTGTAGGTGCATGCTGATTATTTTGAGTTGGCTTTAGGCCAGCACACTACAAGAGGCCCTGCTTGCTTACACTAAAACAAATTATGTATCCACATTTCGGGTTATCCTGTGCGTGATAGTGAACACATATTTTTATTGTAGGACAGGGCGTGCCTATTGGTGATTGCATATTACTGATTGATCAACTATTAGTGGCTTATAGACAATGGATGGGAAATAAGCTATAAGGAGTTTAGCATGATCATTTCTAACACTTTAAGGAGGAAACCCCCACTCTTATAAAGAGTATGCAGCTATTATTTTAGTGGTCAATATTAGAGCAGAAATCCAAACGAACTATTTATGCGCGCACAGGGGAAGGAAGTTAAAAGCAGAAATGAAAGCACTGTGTAAGAAAAGCACTTTAGGGAAATTATTGGCGATTAGCGTGGTTGTGTCTTTGGTGATGGCGGCTAGAAAATATTTTAGTAGACGCACGCATACTGCGCAGGATACATTGCTGAAAAAAACATTATGTAGTGCAAAAGAAGACACACAGGCTCGCTCTTTAGAAAATATAAGAAAGAAGAGAGTGGAAAGAAGAGAATGGGCTATGCCAGTGAGAGAGACAGAAGATAGGCGCGCGCTAGATAGACAAGGAAATAGCAATAGCACTATTCAAAGCAGTTCGGGCTCGCAAGCTGTACCTATTCTAGCGAAAGAGACAGAAGACAAGCACATACTAGATAGACAAGAAAGTGATAGTAATACTGTTTCTGGCAGTTCAGTTTTGTCAGCTGTACCTATTCTAGCGAAAGAGACAGAAGATAACTCTACACTAGATAGACAAGAAAGTGATAGTGATACTGTTTCTGGCAGTTCGGGTTCACCAGCTGTACCTATTCTAGCGAAAGAGACAGAAGACAAGCACATACTAGATAGACAAGAAAGTGATAGTGATACTGTTTCTGGCAGTTCAGTTTTGTCATCTGTACCTATGCCAGACAAAAGAAAAAACTCTCTTTTTATAGAAGAAGAGAAAAAAAAGCAAAATCTTGCTAAATATTATGTGGATATCGCTGAAGAAGAATTAAATAGAGAGATAGCTTTTCTAGAAAAATTAAATGAAGATATAGACAAATCTTGGTCTATCTTTATTGAAGTAGGCAAAAAGCTAGACAGTACTAGACAGAGATATATAGAGTCTGTGCAGACGCACAAATTGATTCAAGAGAAAGAATCTTCTATAGAAGAAGAGATCTGCAACTACTACAGAAAAGAGATAAATACTCAAATACCTACCGGCATAGACCTTGAGTATGACGAACAAATAAAAAGGATTGGCGTGATGAAAGAAGAGTTAGACAAGATGTGCAGTGACCAAATAAAAAAGTGGGATGCGTATAAGGAATACAACAAGGTTGCAATCAACGGGTTGAAAAAAGGTTGTGACTCAAGAGAAGAAAAAATCAAGTATTTTTCGATTTTAATGCTCTTAGAGGAAAGGTTAGCTATTCCAATGGAATATACCATAGAGGTAAATAATAAAGTATATGATGAAGGAAAAATGCTGCTTTCTGCGAGAGAAAAAGAGGCAGAGTATTTTAAAAAGAACAACGAAGGAAAAGAGTCAGAAACACTAAACGAGATATTAGAAATGCACACAAAGCATATAGAAAGTCTAGAAAAAATGAATGGTTTGTGGATTGGTATGTGTAATATACAGAAAGACCTTCTATCTGAGGCAAGAGAAAAATATAAAGCGTATGTAGCATATGATATAGCAAATAGTATGTATGAAAATGAGAAAAAAGTTTTTTATAAGAGAAAAGATGAATTGGCCCGTGCAGAAGAGGTGTTGGAGAGAAATAATTCTAGAATATATAGTGCTGCATCTAGCTAGGGCCTCGGGTTATTCAGATTATATTCAAGAAAATAAAGTGCAGTTAGCTCTGTTTTGCTGTGTTTTTACTTGTATGTGAAGTAAAGCTAAAATTCTTTTCTTTTTGTTTTATTTTTAATTCTACCTCTTGGTAGTTGGTATAGAGGATGAATATAACTGCAGGTTTGTTAAGTCAGAAATTTATTTAATTTTAATAAATCTATGTTAATGAAAAGCTTTTACATTTTAAGTATGTTAGGAAAATGCGATAAAATAGTTTTCTCGCTATTTTGTTGTAAATACATCGGGTTATATTCAAATATAAATCTTAAGACTAAAAATTTGTTTTGAAGTATAGCTTATTTCTCTCTTTATGAAATGCTACACTCAATCATACAAAAATATAGAATAAATTTATTTTCTGTCCTCTATTCATGCCTTCCCAGAATAGAGTTTTCTAGACAAAAAACATAAGACTTTGAAAGCTTCTAGAAGATGTCTTTTGTCATACTATCAGGAGATAGTTAATTGTTTGCTGAAGGGCAAATAAAGGCTAAAAGTGCAACCCATTTAAAATGAATTATATGTATGCAAGCATATCCTCTTTTAGCGTGCTGCCTTACAGCCAAAACTAGGAGATAATAGCCAACACTAATCTACATTGCCGACCCAGAGAGAAGGTTTCATGCTCTCAAGGCAAGGAAAACCAATAATTATACAGCTAGCTTAGCTATACATAGCCATGTTGTTAGCTGTTCACTATATGTTTGCTAAGTATAAAATATTTTAATTCTAGCTGTGCTATGTGAAGAAGCTTTGTATAAAGTGCTTTAGCTAGAGTTCTTTAGAAATAGTAGAGAAAAAGCTTTTATTGCAATTTATAAAGACTTTTCTAGTCAAAGAAGTGTCTAAGTTTGTGCATCTCATG